AAATCAAAATAAATCCGCAAAAAAATCGAAATAAATCGCAAAAAAAATCAGAATAAATCCCCAAAAAAAAAAAAATAAATCCCAAAAAAAAAAAAAAAAATCCACAAAAAAATCAGAATAAATCGCAAAAAAAATCAGAATAAATCCGCAAGAAAGTCAAAATAAATCCCCAAAAAAATCAAAATAAATCCCAAAAAAAATAAAAATAAATCTGCAAAAAAATCAAAATAAATCCCCAAAAAAATCAGAATAAATCCCCAAAAAAATCGAAATAAATCCGCAAAAAATCAGAATAAATCCCAAAAAAAATCAAAATAAATCCCAAAAAAAATCAGAATAAATCCGCAAAAAATCAGAATAAATCCCTAAAAAAATCAAAATAAACCCCCAAAACCCCCCCAAAAAATTCTGAAAAAAATCCCAAAAAATCCCCGAAATTCCCGAATCCCAAATTTCCCAAATTCCCCCGAATTTCCCAAACCCACCTGTGTGAACCCCAATTTAATCCGGCGCTGTTTGAAGGCGCGGGCGAAGCGCTCGAGCTCCTCCAGGTCACTCGGCGCCTCCTCGGGGGGACCCGGCGGCGCCTGGGCCAAAAATGAGCAAAAAAGCAAAAAATGACCCAAAATCCACCAAATTCCAGCAGGAAAAGGTGAAACGGGCCCAGGAAAGGGTTAAAGGTGGAAAAAAACAGGAAAAAATCAGAAGGTGGTAAGGAAAGTTAAAAAAATACAGGAAAAGCAAAAATCAAAAGGAACGGCCCCAAAAAAAACCAACCAAACAAAAAAACCCCAAAAAACCCAAAAAAGAAATAAAAATAAAAACACCAAAAATCAAAAGAAACGGCCCCAAAAAAAACCAAAGAAACAAAAAAAGAAATAAAAATAAAAACACGAAAAATCAAAGGAAACGACCCAAAAAAAGAAACAAAGAAAAAAGAAATAAAAGTAAAAACATGAAAAATCAAAAGAAACGGCCCCAAAAAAAAACAAAGAAAAAAAGAAATAAAAATAAAAACATGAAAAATCAAA